TGAGAAGTCAGAACATGAGCTACACATCATACATGCATGGTTGCATTACATGCAAACGCGGAAACTTGTCACTCCTACACATTTGAGTTTCCAACACATAATCCGTACAACAACCTTATAGCTTCTCTCTATCACAAACACATGCATGCAATATTACACGTGATCTCCATGCAAACTCCTCTCTTGTCCATAAATACCCATTAACCCTTCACTTCACTCTTCACTCAAACCAATAACAATTAAACATACACAAACCAAATGGCGAACAAGCTCTTCCTCGTCTGCGCAACTCTTGCCTTCTGCTTCCTTCTCACCAACGCTTCCATCTACCGCACCGTCGTCGAGTTCGATGAAGATGACGAGACCAACCCCATAGGCCCACAAGGCCCAAGAAAGAAATGTCAGAAGGAGTTTCAGCAATCACAACACCTAAGAGCTTGCCAGCAATGGATCCGCAGGCAATCGATGAAACCCCGTTATGGTCCAGGCGCCGACGTGGAAGAGCTCGATTTCGTAGACGACTTTGAGAACCCACAAGGCCCACAGCAGCAACACCCGATACTCCAGCAATGCTGCAACGAGCTTCGCCAGGAAGAACCAGTTTGCGTTTGCCCTACCTTGAAACGAGCGGCCAGAGCGGTTAGACTCCAGGGACAGCACGGACCATTCCAAGCGAGCAAAATCTTCCAGACCGCTAAGCAGTTGCCTAACATTTGCAACATTCCACAAGTTGATGTTTGCCCTTTCAGGAGCATCCCTTTCTTGCCTCCTTACTACTAGATTCCCAATCAAACCTCTACTGTACGAGTGTGGTTGGATGTTGATACATGTTAACATCACACCTCATCGCGTGTTTCATAAAATGTAAGCTTAGGATGTTTGAGGCTAATGTAATTAGCACTACTCCTTAATAAAAGAGAGGTTTCTTATGTTCGATTTGCCACATGCTCTCTAGGTGGTCCGGGATATGACTCAACCCAATTTAATTAACTCTTTAGAGCCAAATACACGTTTAAAATATATCAAACAATTTTATAGTGGAAAGGTAAAACTTTAAGAAATTATAATCATGATCAAATAGATTATTAGTTTTGTAAATCTACGAGAGACTAGATTTAGGAAGAGTGTCCCAAATTGCAAGAGATTTTCGTAAAACAGAAAAATGCTCAAAATTTTAACCATGGTTTTCAACTTTCTATTTCTCAAATTATGTTTTTAAAATTGCTGATTTTCCATTATAAGAAACCCCAATCAACAACCCTCTCTATAAACATGAACACGAGAGGTCATTCTTCAAAATTTTCGTTTAAACCAAAAGATACAAGAACGCGACCTTCTTCGTCGTATGATTTTGATTCATCCTTACCCACGTAAATAGTCTTACGAGTTGATGAACTAAAAATAAATTCATCATTAGCTTTGGAATCCGATGAAAATAAACTTCATGTCCTTCCCAAAAATCACAAATTCTAGTTAGAAATCTTTAATTTTGTTTCGGATCTCCAAATACAAAACTCTTTGAGGCAATTATTTTGTCCGTAAACGAAAAACAAGCAAACAACTCAGAAAACCCTAAAAAAACTCATGGTCCATCAACATTAAAATCTTCTTATGACCTATATATAACTACCATCTTTAACAGAAGAAAGAAATATTATTCCAAAACAACAATACAAAACAATACAAAATATATTCATATTCAAAATAAATAAGTATATGACGAGCTCAAAATCTTTAATCAAAAACAAAAAAGAGTTTCATGATTATTTCCAATCTCTTACATCTTCTATCAAAGAGTATCATGAATCTAGTTATGATGAACAAAGGAATGATTGTCTTGATAATAGAACACATATAATCGCTAAACTCAATTCCTAACGATTTTCTTTATGTACTAAGAGAAATCACCTTAACCAAATAAAAAAAAGATTAGAAACATGACAGGTTTTCTGAAAATTACAAAATTGATACAATCGCCTTTTTGATACATGTGTCGATCTTACTTATATAAAATCTGGACTTGTCCAACTTGTTTTTCGTCTCGAAACCCGCGAAAAATGTGGAGAATTGAGTCCACGATTAATTTTTATAATATCTTATACTAGATTAAGATCAGTGATGATACATAAGTAAAAATATTGTAAGATTATTGATATAAATATTAAATTCTAGCTAGTAATCCACTGCATTATCAAAATAGTTTT